GGTTCTGGTGGAAGGGGGGAGGAGGGGCTTCTATTGATTATAAAGTGAAAAAGCAAAATTTCTTTGAAAATATTCTTTCTTCTTCTGGTTAAAAAAGCAAAGAAGCTAAGTGTATAGTTATGATGAGCAAGTGTGCTTCTTCCAGAGTAGTGAATTTCATGACCTCTGGGTCAGATGTGCTGGTGTGAGGATGGGGCTCTTGATAATTTAGTGAAAATGCATTAATTCTATTAAATAATCCTGTTTGCTCCTTAGTGTTAAGCAGATAAACAAAGTGATGATGAGCAAACATATGGTCCAAGGGTCAGAAGCTCTGGTGTTTTGGGGGTGGGGGGTTGGGGGGGGGGCTCTATTGATAATATAGTGAATCTGTAGTAAAAATGCATTATTTATTGAAAAATCTTCTCCGCACCTGGGCATATCTGAGGCAAACAGAGTAAAAGTTTTTATAAGGAAGGGAATTTTTACCAGATTTTTGAACATCTGAACCATTTGGTCAAGTGTTCTGGTCCTGGCCAGGGCTCTATTAGTTAAATTCTACTGAGAGGAGTTATTCCCCTTTGCCATTTACTTTTGATAATTTATCACTGTAAATAATGTACTTGAAAGGTAAATAGAACAAGAGAATTATGCAAAAACTTTTATTGTATAATACAAAAAGTATTTCCATAGTTTTAATGATCAGATAGACTTGTAAGTAGTAGATAAATAAAAATGAGACAAAAATAACTTGTCTTGTTAAATATTCATCAAAGACCAAGAGATGCCAATGTAAGAGATTTCAACAAAGGATTAAAATAGTACAGAAGCATTGATAATTTGTTAACATACTGTATGGTGATAGTGATAAATGGGGAACAGATTAGAACCTAATTTATGAACTGTTAATGAATATTAAGACCAATTATTTTGTTGATCATGATCACCCTATTTTTCTTGCTTTTGGGCAACAAAGCTTCACCTTTCAGTTCATTTTATACTCTATGCATCCTTGAAATTGTTGTATCATACTCAGGTGACCGTTAAGGCCCTTGGGCCTCTTGTTTATTTTGGGAACATTCCCAAGCTGTGTGGATTTAATTTTTTCCAAATTATTATTAAAGTGGACTAAAATCAGGATCAAATTTTACATAATGCATGTGTGCAGGAAAACATTTTTCCTATCCATAACTTAAAGACCATGTTAGTCATATTGATATTGAAACATCCCCATGATGTGCTGAGTCAGAGACCCCCCTAGAGTTAGGGTAGGGCCGTAATATGGGGTTGTAATTTTTCATGGAAATTTAAAAGTTCTTTGAAGAACACCAGGGCTAAAGTAATTCAGGTGAGCATTATGGCCCATTCGACCTCTTTTTGGTTTTTGTTTGTTTGTTTGTTTTTTTTGTTTTTGTTTTTTTTTTGTTTTTTTTGTTTGTTCGTTTGTTTTTTTTTCTTTCTTTTTTTAATAACTTGGAAATAAAAGCAGAAAGGCAAAGTGCTGCAAGTGGAAAAAAAATCAAAAAGGCAAAGTGTAGTTACTTTTAATTATCAAGTTTCATAACAATTTTTGAACCCACGAGGGACTTATGGCTCCTGAAAAGTCAAATTCTGATGTTTCTTCCTGTTTTGGACGTCTTGGAATATGATTTTTTTTTTAAACATTTGGGATTGTATAACTATAATGAAAAAAATCAAATGGTATATCTGCACAAGATCTACCCCTTTTTAAAAAAAAAAATTATTCATGTTTGATCCCATATGTTTGAGTTGTAGCCCCTAAGATATAAATTTGTTATTTTTGGGCCTCTTGTTAGTTTCTAGACAGAATTATTTATATTTTGGTGGTAGTTGTTTTGTCTTTGTTTCCATCAGTGTCTTTGTCTAGTGATAAGGTTTGTGGCATGTACTAATTTAAAGTTCAGACAGGTGTTTATATTAAGAAAACCAAAAAAACCTGATAAATTTGTATCATCAAATAAACTGCTTTTAAAATTTGTAAACTATATTGTAGCCACTGGGGCAGGTTAATATGTTATTTAAAAGTTATATGATTTGCGCAAATTGTAAAAAACAAAAATGGCTGACTAGACAAACTCGATGTACATGCATGTACAAATTCTTTAGCTATCTGATCATCCATTTTGGAATTAAAGTATTACCTCTGAACTGTCACAGTTTTGTTAATTATGGGTCTTAGTTCAGATGAGGTTTTTTTTTTTTTTTGAAAGGGGGGATACAGCCAGGTAAGCTATTCTGCAAGGCTCCTTGAAGTGTCTCTTTTGTAGTTGTAAATATTTGTCAGTAAAAACCGAAGGACTCTATATCCTGATCATTGTGCGTTGTTGGGTGTCTTGAGGTTGCAAAATTGCACGGTTACAATGCAAAATATAATAACGCAAAATGTAATAAACTGGGATTATTACATTTTGCATTATTAAGTTTGGCGTCAAAATCAACACAGAATGTAATAAGAAATTTTTAGGAATATTATGTTTTGTGTTATTACGTTTTGCGTTGATGCCAACGCAAAATCTAATAAGGCAAAATGTAATAGGATATTTTTTGGATTATCATATTTTTTGTTAATATAATTTGCGTCGATATTAGGCAAAATGCAACAATACAAATTGTAAAAACACACTTTTTGGTCAGTTAGGTTGAGAATAATTTTCACACCTATGAATATATATTGCTTTATTATTAGCCATTTCCTGATCTACGAAATAATGCAAGTTCCATTTCAAGGGATCAAATATGCCGATTTCCTGGCTTTCAGGCATGACAATTTTTATTATTATTTTTTTAGCTCATCTGAGCCGAAAGCTCAAGTGAGCTTTTCTGATCACCCATTGTCCGTCGTCCGTCCATCCATCTGTCCGTCCGTCCGTCTGTAAACTTTTCACATTTACAACTTCTTCTCAAGAACCACTGGGCCAATTTTAACCAAACTTGGTACAAAGCATCCTTGGGTGAAGAGGAGTTTAAATTGTTAAAATGAAGGGTCAAGCCCCCTTCCAGGGGGAGATAATCAAGAAAAGAAAAAATAGGGTGGGGTCATTAAAAAATCTTCTTCTCAAGAACCACTGGGCCAGAAAAGCTGAAACTTATGTGGAAGCATCCTGGGGTAGTGTAGATTCTAAATTGTTTAAACCATGACCCCTGGGAGTACGGCAGGGCCATAATAGGGAATCCAATTTCCACATTGAAATATATAGGAACAATTTTTAAAAATCTTCTTCTCAAGAACCACTGGGCCAGAAAAGCTGAACTTTATGTGGAACCATCCTGGAGTAGTGTAGATTCTAAATTGTTTAAATCATGACCACAGGGACAGGGCCACAATAGGGAATCCAAGTTTTACATTGAAATATGTAGAAAAAAATCTTTAAAAATCTTTTTCTCATGAACCACTGGGCCAGAAAAGTTGAAACTTAAGTGGAAGCTTCCTGGGGTAGTGTAGATTCTAAATTGTTCAAACTATGACCCCGGGGTAGAGTGGGGCCACAATAAGTACTACAAGGGGGGAAATCGGGTGAAAAACAGCAAGGCCCAAATTACTCAGGTGAGCGTTGTGGACCATGGGCCTCTTGTTTTTTTTTTTTTTTTTTTTTTTTTTGTTTTTGTGTTTAGTGTAAAATAACATTCCCATGTCTTGTGTTTACGTATATTTGAGTAACTAGTATTTGATTCACCAATTATATCAAATTCCACCGATTTTAAATCATCTTTGTGTTTAGTACCACTAGTATTCAGTGGATATACAATTTTTTATGATAGAAGCGTGCAATGTAAAAAATTATCAGGAAACAAAAACTCAAAATTCTATGAGACAAAGCTTTATTTATGCATAAATAAAGGAAAATTAAATGAAGGACCTTAAAAGCATTTCATACTCCTAACCGACTCATCCACTTCGGCACAATACCTATTCATAATTTTATAACATTAAAGATACGTTTAAATCAATTTTATGATGCTTTGCGTTGAACACGATACAAAAAAAATATTGTTTTGTATAAATGTTACATTTTTATTTTATTACATTTTGCGTTGCTCTCAACGCAAAAATTACAGGCCCGTAGGAAGCAAATTCAGTTGGGGGGGGGGGGGGCACAGCCATACATTTTCAGTTGACAGTTGAGAGGGCACTACCAAAAGCAAAAATTATCTGACAAGCAAAAAAAAATAAAAAGGTCGTCAACTACCAAAAATTCCTCGACAAGCAAAAAAAAAAAAAAGTTTTTATTGAGGGGGCACAAGCATATAGTATCTATGTTTCCTATAGTAATCTATATATCGGCAAAATTATTTGGGGGGCACGCCCCTCCCCCTTGCCCCCCCCCCCCCGGTTCCTATGGCCATGAATTAAATAACGCAAAATGTAATTATCAGAAAGTACATTATTACAATCTGTGCTAATCTCGACGCAAATTGTAATAATGCAAATTGTAATAAGCCTACTAGTATTTAACATGTTTAAAGTATTTTATTACATTTTGCGTTATTACATTCTGCATTGATGTCGATGCAAAATGTAATAGCGAAAATGTAATAATTTTGTGTTGTTATTACATTTCGCGTTGTAACATTGCACTTAAAGCAGAAGCAAAGACATATAAAGATTTGAAAACTAGAAACAGGTCAATGCGTACTTGGAACCTATTATATATTATTAGAGTCTCTTACAAAACCTGTAACGTGTAAACCGGGAACACATGGAGTACAAGTGCACTGGCATCATCAATAGTGATCACGTGACCGTCATCCGGAAGTTCAAAAACGGTTGGAGAAACTGATCAAATGGATACGGGTGATCATGGTGATTAGGTTTAGGCTATAATCTTTTTATTTATTTTAAAGATATTTTTATTAAGAAATTGTCATGAAAAATGTTTTAGTGTAAGCTAATGAACTAATAAAACGTTTTACAGTAAAAATGAAATATGTACACGTTACGTGAAAGCGGATGTAAAGATAGGCCTACACGACGACGAGTTTAAAATGCTATGTAAAAATCATTGACCCTTGAAGCTTTCGTTGATTGTTAAAAATCCACGGGTATCGTGTGTAGATACACGTGATGGTATATTGATCGTAGTCAACCGTAAGCCGTAAAATACCCGAATTACTCGTTGCATTGTGTGCACAGAGAGACGATTGGATTATTCTCAAAGTGGGTGTTTCTAAACAATGTTATGTAACTGAAAAAAACGTGACGTTAGAAATGAGTTATGAAAATATAATAATTTGACTCCAATGCACTTGAGATACCATAAGAAAGTGGATATATGCTAGGAAATCGATAAAATAAACAGAGTACTAGTAGGAAGCAGACGCAAGGACTAGAGAAAAAGACTTTTCAGTGACTTGATTCAATATGACTAGGCAGCAGGAGAAGCCGAGTATGAATGGAACCACCAACGGCCACATTCCAGCATCAAAGGAGGAGAAGAAACCTAACATACTGCAGAGGGTGGCGAATGGTATCATCTGGTTCTTTGAGACAGGGTTTGAAAAGTAAGAATTTCTATTTATATGTGTGTAAACAATGAAATATGTATCCTGGCATATTGTATTTTCAACCTATTAAGATGTTATCCTTGATAACTTTAAAAAATTGTGAAAAAATTAGCTCACAAGGATTATATATGTGTCTATAAATAAAAAAAAATCCAAATTACAGTTTTGTGTTCACTTTAATCTTTATTTGCATGCCATCATATTTTCTTTGCAAAAATAAAAGCCTCTTGTATTTTTGACCAGTCTGTGAATATCTGTAGGATATTCTGCTCAAGGAAAATATATCATTTGTCTTCAATAAAAACATTAAGTAAGTTGCATATTTTGGTTACAAACATTTTATTCATTGGATGTATTTTTCCCCTTAGTGACTGTGCAATTTGAAAAATTGCAATGAAATTATGTTGCAAATTTCAATAAAATTCTGGAAGAAAAGGTCATCTCTATGGAAGAAAAAAAGTTAATTTTATCCACCCCTTTCAATATGATATTTATGCATCTTGGTGACAGAGATCTAAATTTTCTCTCAGAAAAATATTATTAAAAAAATTGGTTATTAATCAATTACAGTTTTTATTAATCAACAGGTAAAGTGGGCACAAGTAAAAAGATGAGAATTTCTCACATCAGATGAAAAAAATGAAAACAATCCTCAAAATTGATTTATTGTAGCTATCTCCACAACATCCGTATTTGTTATGTATTTTTTTAAGTTTAGCAGCCAAAAGTTGTCCTAGTGCTTGTTTATACCTGCATATTAATTGCATTTTTAATTTTTTTGCTATTTTCTTTTTAGAGGGAGAACTTGACCCCCCTCTCCATTCAATCTTGGGTCTCTGGGGTTTGGGACTTGTTCAATTAAAGAACTTTTTTTAAAGACTACTGTATTAGAGGTGTAGCAAAGAAATTGATGAATCTACAGGTATTGATAATGCAACTACATCAAATACTAAATGTTACTGTTAATTCGTAGGCTTATCGCTGGTCTTTTCAATTTTGAAAAATTCCCATTATCCCAAAATATTGATGATTTTTCCAAAATAAGCAGGATGTAGAGAAGCTTCTCAAATTTGTGTGAAAAATACTGCATGTTTTTATATTCACATGCACCTTTGTCTTCATATTCCAAAAAATTATATGTTCACACCACTAGTGACTGAATAGTCATTTTGATGTTGGTAGTCATAAGTGTTAGGAGTAGAAGATTACCACATCTTATTGCCTATTTTTCTTTTTCATTCCACATCATTGTGAGGTTTCTTTGCATTCCAGAGAGCTATCAAGCTTAAAATTGTGCATGAAAAAAGATTAACTTATGAAATTCTAATATTCTTCACTGCAACATGTGATATAATTTTTTTGTGTTATACAGCTGTATATGCAAACTTTATAGGAAAAATCAGTGTCATGTGAAATTGCCAACCAGGAATGTAATACAACACAAGCAGGTGTATGAATATTATATTAATTAGGAGAAGTTTGATTGAATGGCAAAGCATTATACATCACATGTTTTTTGGCTTGGACTAGAATAACGCTTAGTCATTGGATAACAGACATCACGTGCCTGATGTCTATATGTCATTCTGTAGATGGCTAGTTACAAAATAAAAAGGACAACATGGTTAATAAAATTATGCTATCATCCATATGTGAAAAAAAATTGTGCAAACCTAATAAGTAATAATACCACTAGACAATTAGGATTGTTAAGTTATATCAAAAAGTGTGAAATAGTTATTTGTAAATATCTTTTGTACTTTGGCAGGATTGGCACATTTATGGCAACACATCCTTGGAAGACAATACTCACCGCAACAGTTATTGTTGGCCTTTTCTGTATAGGAAATATCAAATTTGGAGAAAATGAAGACAACAGTGTGATCTGGGTGCCATCGGATTCGGAGCTTATGGAACACAAAAAATATGTGGACAGTGTATATCCATCAACAACAAGATTTTTCTACCTTATTCTTGTTGCCAACAATGTAATGGATCCTACTACAATGTATAGTGTAAGTTTTGATGAAATTTTTGTGTTAAAGTGCAAAAAAAAGTGAAAGATTTTTTAATAAACCTTACTAACCATGTACATCAATTGATAAGAAAATTTAATGAATGAGTTATAGCACGACTATTAAAAATATTTTTGACGCATTTAAGACAATTTATTTTCATATTTTAGATTTATAATATCTATGATAACATAACAGCGGTCACTTCAGACTCGGGAAATGATTATTCATCAATATGTTTCAAGTAAGTCTCTGAAACTAAATGTATCATTGATCTGATACATTTATGATAAATACATGTTTCAAATCTTTTATTATTATTAATTCTTATATGATATTTTAATCAGATGTTTGAGATTGACAATCACAAGTATTCTATGGATGATTTTATTACTTATTCTGAGACACAAAAGATGAGCTCAGCTTTCTGGCTAGTTACCAAAGGATATTTTTACAAAATTTGCATATATTTTTATTCTCTTCAAAAGACTGCACCTGACAAAAATATTTTGCTGGCTCTCATTTAGGACCATATTTGTGGATGTTTCTAGCTTCTCACAAAAGGAAAAAAAAGCACCAGAGGGACTTAAATTCTTTTTTATTTCAGTAATTTGTTATATGCAGTTACATGTAGTAGTTCATTATATGCTAGCACTAGATGGAAATTTATTAGTTTATTGTAAGAATAAATTTGTGATATTGATCTGTATTGGCTGTAATCATATTTTGCTGTACAAACCAAATCTGCACAGAGAGCTTATGCTGTATGATGCATGCACTGGATGGTGCATCTAACCTATATTTTACACTTCATTGGCTCAGGATGTAACTAGTTCAAAGCTTATCAGATGCCATACATGCATTAAGTACTGCATCTGACCTATATTTTACATTTCAAGTCTGTACATGTTTACTTTGTTCCCAGCTTACCACAAGTGACATACAGAGCAAACTCAACAATTTAGTGCATCTATGGGTGTTTTTTGTCACAACATATTTTTAGCTCACCTGAGCTGAAAGCTCAAGTGAGCTTTTCTGATCACCCATTGTCCGTCGTCCGTCCGTCCGTCCGTCTGTAAACTTTTCACATTTTCGACTTCTTCTCAAGAACCACTGGGCCAATTTTAACCAAACTTGGTACAAAGCATCCTTGGGTGAAGGGGAGTTTAAATTGTTAAAATGAAGGGCCAAGTCCCCTTCAAAGGGGAGATAATCAAGAAAATACAAAAATTGGGTGGGGTCATTAAAAAATCTTCTTCTCAAGAATCACTGGACCAGAAAAGCTGAAACTTAAGTGGAAGCATCCCGGGGTAGTGTAGATTCTAAATTGTTCAAATCATGACCCCCGGGGGTAGGGCAGGGCCACAATAGGGAATCCAAGTTTTACATTGAAATATGTAGTAAAAATCTTTAAAAATCTTCTTCTCAAGAACCACTGGGCCAGAAAAGCTGAAACTTAAGTGGAAGCATCCTAGGGTAGTGTAGATTCTAAATTGTTCAAATCATGACCCCGGGGGTAGGGCGGGGCCACAATAGGGAATCCAAGTTTTACATTGAAATATGTAGTAAAAATCTTAAAAAATCTTCTTCTCAAGAACCACTTGGCCAGAAAAGCTGAAACTTATGTGGAAGCATCCTGGGGTAGTGTAAATTCTAAATTGTTCAAATCATGACCCCCGGGGGTAGGGCGGGGCCACATTAGGTAATCCAAGTTTTACGTTGAAATATGCAGAAAAAGTCTTTAAAAATCTTCTTCTCAAGAACCACTGAGCCAGAAAAGCTGAAACTTAAGTGGAAGCATCTTGGGGTAGTGTAGATTCTAAATTGTACAAATCATGACCCCCGGGGGTAGAGCGGGGCCACAATAGGGAATCCAAGTTTTACATTGAAATATGTAGTAAAAATCTTAAAAAATCTTCTTCTCAAGAACCACTGGGCCAGAAAAGCTGAAACTTATGTGGAAGCATCGTGGGGTAGTGTAGATTCTAAATTGTTCAAATCATGACCCCCGGGGGTAGAGCGGGGCCACAATAGGGAATCCAAGTTTTACATTGAAATATGTAGTAAAAATCTTAAAAAATCTTCTTCTCAAGAACCACTGGGCCAGAAAAGCTGAAACTTATGTGGAAGCATCGTGGGGTAGTGTAGATTCTAAATTGTTCAAATCATGACCCCCGGGGGTAGGGTGGGGCCACATTAGGTAATCCAAGTTTTATGTTGAAATATGCAGAAAAAAGTCTTTAAAAATCTTCTTCTCAAGAACCACTGGGCCAGAAAAGCTGAAGCTTATGTGGAAGCATCCCTGGGTAGTGTAGATTCTAATTGTTCAAATCATGACCCCCTGGGGGTAGGGCGGGGCCACAATAAGTACTACGGGGGGGGGGGGGGAATCAGGTGAAAAACAGCAAGGCCAAGGTTACTCAGGTGAGCGCTGTGGCCCATGGGCCTTTTGTTTGAAATGTACCAAGTTTTGTTTCCCTACAGAGGGTATATCAGTCTTATAAGAAAAAACTGTAGTGTCGATTTTGTGATATTGTTTACAATTTGTTTGCCATAGTAAAAGGCTGTGATGTGATTTGCAGTCATTTTCTTTTTAGATCTAATGGAAATTGCCTGGTAACAAGTGTATTGGAGCTGTGGTCATACAATAGTGCTACCATTGGTGGTCTAAATGCAGCAACAATACAGTCAGATGTAAACACAATAACAACCAGGTAAATAATATAGCCTTGTGATTATTGCTGCTGTTTCCAATGATGATAAGTGCTGTAATGTAACTAGACAGCACATACACTTTGCTTCTGTATTTCTATATTGTATTGAATACAAGACGAATTCATATCGTTGAATTAAATGTGAATTGAATCAGTTATATTTCTTATATTGCCAAGACCAAAAAAAAAAAAAGTTGAGCATAGCTTAATTTGATTTTTTATGCCCCTGCCATAAAATGGCCGGGGGCATATTGTGTTACCTTGTTCGGTCATTCTGTCATTCAGTCATCATTGACTTTCCGTTCATTATCTCAGCAACAGTTGCATACATTCAACTCAAATTTTAAATATGGATACATCGTAAAAATACACAGGTCAAGTTCGAATTTGGTCATGGTCCAATGATTTTTGACAGAGTTATCCCTCTTGAACTTAGAAAAAACAAGAAATTTTCAGTTTCCGCTCTCTTTCTTTTGTAGGGATGTATATATAAGGTTGAAATTGCATGTGCAGGTATTTTGCCAGAAAATACAGGTCAAGTTTGAATTTGGTCGTGGTCCAGTGATTTTTGCCAGAGTCTTGAACGTAGAAAAAAATTTTTTCGTACAAACAAATTTAAAACTAAAATATGGCATTTGAATTTTTGGCTGCCTGCAGGGGCATTCGTGGCGTTACGGCACATTTAGTTTAAAAAGAATATTTGGCAGTTCTAATACAACCACAAAATTTGAAATGCATTTTAAATGATACACATAATAAATAATGACAAAAGGAGAAAAAGTGCCAATTTTAATTGGAGCAAAAATAGAATTTGTTCAGAAAAAAGGCAATGAAATCAAGGCTGTATTTAACATACTTGTATGTGAATCAATTAGAAATATCGTACCCAAAACCTATATCCATTCACTCTTGAATTTAGGTTGATAAAGTTAAAAAATAAGATTGGGAAAGTCCCAAAATTTGTTCTGACATGCATTGATAAAAACTACTTTAATGATTTACATGTATTGTATAATTATTGACATGAACCTTGCTCTTCATGCAAAGTTGAAATGCTTGGAGAAGTTGATATACTGGTATCTATGGATTGACAACATAAAGAGCTATATTAGTTAATTATCTGTAATAAATACAAATGAATAAATCCCCTTCCCTTTTCTCCACTAGGAGAAAGGGGGACATATATTGTACCGGTAAATATTAAAAAAGCATTTTTGTGTTTCACATTGTACCCCTTGTAAACCCGACTCTGAAGAAATCAGGTTACAGTTTATATTTTCCTCCATTTTAGTCCCATGTACTCATCCCCTTGGGAAGCCACAAAGTATCTTGGAGGGAGAACAACATCTGGATCAACAATAACGGGTGCCAAGGCAGCCTACATCACCTTTTATATTGATGGAGTGAGTAGTTGTACCATTACTTATGCAGCAGTGTCCAAAACTGCCTGTCTGGAAGTTCCATTGAAAACAGAAATTGCTAGGAATGTCTTAAAGATTCTTTAGTCCCACTAGAAAGTTAATACTTGTAGCTTAGGTTTGTGGCTGAACAGAAATTTTTGTAATTTATAATGGCAATATATGTATTAGCAGGGATCACTTTGGTATACCGGGTATATGTAATTTGTTAAATGCACCTGATTTTTAGCTCTACTGGTCAGAGACCAGAAGAGCTTATGCAATAGTAAGGTGTCCGTTGTCCGTCCCTCTGTCCAGCTGTCTGTCCGTCTGTATGTCTGTAAACAATTTTTCAAAACGTTACTCCTCCTACAGTTTTGGTCCGCTTTCAGTATAACTTGGCACACAAGTAGACTACACTAAGATACACAATTCAGTTTTTGATTTCGATGAACAGTGTTGCCTTGGTTACTAAAAATAGAAATTTCTGTGAGATACTTTCAAAATGCTACTCCTCCTACAGTTTTTGTTTGATTTCAATATAACTTTGCACACAGTTAGACTACACTAAGATACATAATTCTGCATATTGGTTTTTGATTTCAATGAAAAGTGTTGCCATGGTTATTAAAAATAGAAATTTCTGTGAAATACTTTCAAAATGCTACTCCTCCTACAGTTTGGTCTGATTTAATATAACGTGGCATGCAAGTAGACTACACTGAGATGCATAATGCTGTGTGTCATTTTTTGATTTTTGATGAATGATGTTGCCATGGTAACTAAAATCGAAATTTCTGTAAAATTCTTTTTAAAGGCTACTCCTCCTACAGTTTTAGTCTGATTGCAATCTTGCCACAACAAGAGGCTAAATCAAGGATCATTATTCTATTTATTGCTGTTGCAAAGTTTCAAGTCCTAGCCTTTGTTATAAGTACAAACCAGTAGAGCTACAGTCTCGACAGAGACTTCTGGTTTATGTTATTGTATCATATATATATATAGATGCAGATTGTATACATTATATTGATGTTAGGCAATTTTGAGATGATATTGATTTTGGACTTTTATCATACATGCTTTGGAAATTGTGTCCCAAAGCCAATATTTCAAATTACATTTACATGTATAAAGTGCTGTTGAAGCCAGCTGTGCTATTGAGCAGTATACCGGTAAACATTTCGCCAGCTCACTGGGGGTGATTTCCAAAATTACTGGCCAATAAAGATGTCTTGTGCATACACTGCAAAAGAGATATCCCCATCCTCTTTGTGACAGAATTTTGTTGATGAAAATTTTGACATCTTAAAGCTTATCATCTTTACTTATTCAATCCTAGACTTTACTATGAAAAATTATGAACTTTGGGATGGAATAGAAGTGAAATATGGTGCAATTTCCATATGGAGTGGGGAATAATTATGTCCCCTGACTGTACCTTTTTAATATATTCGATCAGTGCATATTATCTATTCAAGATATATTACTAAAGTCAGGTACTCTTCACACAATTGCTCCGACGAAAATAGTTCCATTCATGATCAGTAGATACAAGATTACAACAAATGTTAAGAATAATGATGTATATTTAATACGTTAAAGAAAACAAAATTAACGTAAAAAGATTTTAAGAAAATCATCTTTTCCCCGGAAAAGCAAATAAAAAGTTTTCATATTCCTACGCTCGCTGCCTCCTCAGTCTTTTTCCCGAAAATATATAGGTCATACTTCGATTGATAATGATAAATCTTTTCACCAGTTATATTACTGTCATTATTATTGTTCGTTCATTGCCTTATAATTTCTTTTGAATGGATATGTTAATCATTAACTGTGTGTTTTTTTTTCTCTCTTTTAATGAAAAACGGAATGGTTATTATGGTTAAACACCTGCAATCGTAACCTCTCGGCAAAGCAACGTAATGTTCCGAGCTCGTCTGAAAGGATCTTCGCACGTGTGTAGACTTAGGCTATTTGGTCTTGCAAGCACAGGTGTGTGCACCGTTTGCTAGAGACGCTTAGATCACGTAGACTGGGTATCAGTATTTGCTACGGAAATGAAGAAGTTTAGAACTATACACCAGTTTCATAAGAAGTGCAGGTTTTTTACTCAAGCCCTAAATTGGGCTAGAGGGGCTGAGTTATCTAAAACGAGACTAGGTCATCGATCTACTCAGTTTAAAAACACGAAAATATACTAAGTTTATCTTCAAAACATCTGTATATTCAAAATCTATATTAAGTGTTAAATGTCGGATTCAATCCTATGACGAAGGAATATTCAGTGATGCTCCATAGCCGCAACCGATCTCGCGCTTTCCTTTGCGTTTAACAACGGCCGTCAATGCATCTCTCTGGACAAGTTCATTGATTACAAGTTCATTCGTTCTAAAAGGTGACATGTTGACTATCTTTAACATCTGCCTATGGGTGATAGTAATTTAATAGCACAAAATTAAAAAAATAAATTAAAATCTATCCTTGATAGATCTATAGTTTTGCTATTTAAAAAAAATGGGCTATCTTTCATAATCCATAACGGCTAGAACATGATTTGAATTTTTTTTTTACAGAAGATTATATCATTGGAAAGTTAGATGGTACACATGTAGCACAGGCCCATATAGTACGCGGGATTTTTTTCGGAGCCCCCCCCCCCCCTTCACTTTGAAAACGTTGCTACAGGCCTGTAACATGCTATTTGGTTTGAATATTCCTGAAAATGAACGAGGTGTTAAATACATTTTTAAAATTATACGATTAATTATATTTAGTCTATGTTCTATGTGAAATTAAAACTATTTTTAGCGACTTTGTGATAGTCACTACATGCATCTACATCTAACGTTATATATGAACATGCAGTTTGTTTCCTAGTACATGCATATTTTATTCAACAAAAGATGTTGAAACTCAGTAGCCTAAATATTTTGTCGTTTTAGGATATTTATGGCACTTTTATTATGACTTTCTACAGCTTGAGTATCTCTGACGTTTTGTCAGTAAATACTTGTTTTTTTTATTAGAAATCATCTGAGCACAATGAAAATTCGAATAAATTAAAAGTCGAATATCTTGGATATGGGGTATCCCATATCTATTCTTGTTTACATGTTTATTTTTGGTTTTGTAAGTGTTGAAAATTTTACATCATTTCAGGAATAAACTTTAATTCTCAAAATAATATATATATATATATAAAATTACACATATGAATGAAGAAATTTGAAATTTAATGTATTTGTATTAAGTTTCTATCTTATATTGTTTTTTGAAAAATACTGACAAGAAAAGTTTATATGTTTATGATATATAAGAGAATCCTTGAGAGATGGTGTTTTCTTGGGTTTCAGACAAATGAAAATAACAAAACAGCTGCAATTGATTGGGAGAAAAAGGCTGTGGAAAAGGCCAAGAGTCTTCAGGAAGCAGGAATCCAGGTGTATTATTTTGCAACTGTCAGGTAGGTACATTCAATGCTTGGTAAAGTAATAATTTCTCCTTCTTAACAATTTGTGTTTTTGATTTAGTTTGCCTGCTTACATGTATAACTTTGGAAACTTTTGTGAAATTTTATCAAAGCTTTGTTTAGATGGATTTGGATAATGATTTTTTTTAGGGAATGGGAATGCTATAAATTGCCAAGCCTTTGCGTTAGCATTATACACTTTCAAAGTGTTATATTTTATCATTTTATATAATATATTATTATATTATTATTATATTATATAATGTTATATTTTGTTATGAGGGTCAGACAAAGGAACTGATGTGTCCCAATTAATTGTCACTGGAAAATCCAAATAGATTGGATATACATGTACATTATAAACTTATATAGATGGATATAAAACATGACTCAGGTTGTTTCAATGTTTATTTCAGTCGGAGTGAGGAAGGAGGTGGTGCTATTTTGAAAGATGTGACCCTGCTCACAATTGGTTATTTCCTAGTGATTCTTTACCTATTCATTGTCTTTGGGAGGCTCAACTGTGTAGAACAAAGGGTACAATATTACTAGTGCATTAAAGGGTTTTTATCACATCTCAAAATTTTTCTCAAAGTTTACCTGTGAATAAAATCATATATCTAAAAATCTTTGCTAGAAAATTGATATTGTTAATGTTTCAGCGATTCAAAGTTTGAATTTCTCAATATGCATGTTATATGCATGCATATTGCTCTGATGTCATAGGTGTCAATCCTGGTCAAGCAAAGTACTTATTGTGTATACAAAATTGCTCATTTGTTGTGTCTTTTAAACCTGTTAGTAAATAAATAAGTGATAATTGGGATAATTGACGGCTAGTAAAGTATAATTTGTGGCTTTAGGATGCACATATGTGGTTTTAGGAAGACTTTTTTCACATTTCCTGGACTTGGCTGAGATGTGAAAGGGGACCCTTTTTCTACAAATGCAAGGACTTTGTCTCCCTTCAGAACAATCGTTTATGTCCGATCACAATTTTTTCCAATACTATAAAATATTTTAAGGACATGGTACCTTTTAAAACGGAAAAAATACCCAACAGGCATTTTCAACATGCACAGAATCTAGTAGGAATGTTGTGAACTTCGTAATGGTCTTTGTAATGGCCTACGGCGCCATTGAACACTGAAGAAGTGTCATTTCTAGTACATGATATTCACTGGGACAGATAGAAGATATACAGGATTTATTTATGTATAATTTATTGAAATAATGAAGAAATAGAATTTAAAATTCTCATATTTATAAATATTTATGAAGTCAAACTTTAGTCATTTGTTCTATTTAGTCGAAGTCTTGAGTTGTCAATGGCTTGGTCTTCGGTGACCTCTCCTATTGTTGCCATATTTTCTTGGTTATTTCTCTCTGCTAGACGTTCATACATAAAAGATTGACCATCCATAACCAATAGAATATCATCGATGTCAAAACTTTCACCGATCTTATTGTGTAGTCTATTTATTTAACATCAAAATCTATTTGATATATTTATCTTACTAAAAGCTTTACTAGTTCTAGTTGACCATTGACACCTATGATGTTTCAGTACCACGTGACCCCTATCTAATTAATGGAGATTTTTACTTCGAGAACTCTGTATAACGGACGTTTTATTGCCTAATTATGACTGTTTTCAAAATTATTTCATAATTAAACGATGATTATATGTTTCAAGAATATAATAGTGTTTCATTTTAAAGAAATTTAGATCCGTGATAAAAACTCTTTAAGCTTAAATTTCTCTAGAGACTTCATAGCCAAGCTAGAAAGTAGATTTATCTGTCGTCCTACTGCTAATTTTTTATCAAATGCATATATATTTTTCTGTTTCAGATTGGTTTATCTATGGCTGGCATTATTGTGATTGGAATGTCTATAGGATTTTCCTTTGGATTATCCAGTGCTGCAGGTTGGGACTATGGACCACTTCATTCCATTCTGCCGTTCCTACTCCTTGGTAAGATGGTTTAAAATTACAAAAGTTATGTACACTTTCATTTCATCTTCTTTCATCTTCTTCAGTAATCCAGTGTTTTGTATATAAACTTCAAAGGCATTCAAATCAAATATGTCTAGACACATGAATTTTGGCATGACCATGCATATGCCTCTTTTTTGGCCAAAAAGGTCAGAATGATATAAGAATGGACAGTTTATTATGATTCTGTTTATATTAAAATTTGAAATTATACCAAAGATGTACAAATATCAAATATACAGGGAATCTTTGATTTACAGGTATTGGAGTAGATGACATGTTTGTTATTGTGGGCTCATACCAGAGTCTCAGTCACCACGAACTCAGTCTGCCCTTACCCCAGAGGATGGGAAAGTTATTACGACACGCTGGTGTGTCCATTCTTGTGACATCAGTCACTGACATCCTGGCTTTTGGAATAGGTGCTACCACAGTGAGTGATTGTTTTCTCTTACTTATTAAAGTATACATTACAACATGCTTATAACAAATTCACACTTACAGTGAAGTGATTTTCTTTCTCTGAGGTTTTAAAATGTATCTTGAAATGAATGGATATAACAAATAACATAAATGATGAAACAAAACTATTCATTCTGGGCACATTGCTATGAGAGTGTTTTACTGTACTGTGAATTATGACTTTATTATATGCAAAACAATACCATTGTTACTATTTGTAAGACAATTATTCCGTACAATAAATTAACTGGTAATACTAGGAGTTATCTCAATACATATAACATGATACAATACAAGTATCTCAATATTATGATAAATTAGAAAACAATAATAGTCTTAGTATTTTATTTCAATATTTGTCTTCTTGACAATAAATCAACAACAATTTACAGTTGAACTTCGGTATCTTGAACAAGGATATCTCGAATACCATGGATATGTCGACATTCTTTGCAAAAGTGTAAAATTTATTACAGCACATAAGGTCTGGTAAAAATATGTATTTTACCAAGCATTTACTTACCAGACCAACCTTTTTTCTTTAAAATTCAATCATATGTCAGTATGATACTGAGATTGAAAAGGGGGGGGGGGGGGGTATTCTCACTGTTAAATTGAACCTCAAATAGATCCAGAGTTGAGATTTTAAAAAAATGTTTTTATTGAAATGAACAAGCTTATTATTAATAATCTTCCTTTTTAAAATTAAGGTAGTGTACAATTCTATACAATTTTCTCTTTTTCTGGTTAATTGACACATACAAACGAAATTCACATTGTTAAAGATTTTTTTTTTTAAACTTTAAAATGCACTTTAAAATATATTTCTTTCTTTCCTGAAGTAACTCTAAAATATATTTATTCCTTTCCTGAAGTATTTCATTATGGTTACTCTTGTTTAATAATGAAAATGATTTCCCCCAACCGAATCTGTGTATGAGCTATCTATAGATCTATATTCCATGACAGAGGAAATTCGAATTGGAAATAAATGATCATGACAGGGTTGTTATAGATTAAACTTAATCATGCATTACTGCTAAATGGATAGAATAAAGGATATGTGTGGAAAATAAGACAATATGTACATATAAATTCAGATTTTTAGGCCTTAATTTTTCATCGGGCAATCGGTCCTGTATCTCGAATTTCTTTACCGACTCGAACCAAATTTTACCAGTAAAAACCGATGGTCCAGTGACTTTCACATAGACTGTGTTGAAGTAATTTTGAGATCCCAACTACTTATTCCTTATAAGTATTCTACCCTGGATATCTCGAATCCTTGGTTATCTCGAAGTATTTTCTTGGTCCCTTCAAGTTCGAGATAACAAGGTTTGACTGTATTTTATATCAAATCACAATTGCTTTGAAATTAATACTTGAAGTTCATCTATTTCATTGATTAAAAATTTACAAAAACAGTATTACATGTATGTATTTCCAAATGTCTATAAACAAGTTGAGTTTTCAAATAATTATGTAGTTCGATCATTAGTATCATTGATTGAAAATTCATCAAAAACATAACATGTACGTAATTATGAATTGCAAAAAATCTATAACTAAGTTGAGTTTACAAAAAAAAAAAAATTGTTTCAAAATTCAAATTCTTTTTAATGAAAATTACACGGGTAGTGAATCCATGATTTGTTCCGAGCTGTTAATGCCAGATTGACGATAATAGATAATAATATCCTTTCTGTATATAACACACTAATTACAAACTGAGCTTTTCTTGTCCTTTCTTCCGAGGATGCTTAAAAATGAAAATGTTTCACCACTTATCTACAACTTAATAGGTCTAAAGTGTGTTTTCAATATTAAAATATTATCTCTTGACTCTTCGTTTCATATAATTAAGCCACCATTTTCCAAGACAACTTCTTTCATTTCAATTTTTTGATAGGTAGTTTGTTTATCGTTTTGTACCAATGTATTGTAAACTGTATCTTAGCAGAAAATATCAGTTTGTATTGGTATATCATCCCACCTCTAGGTAATAAATGTATAGTTTTTTATTTCAGTTTATGGAAGAAAATATTTTAAAAGGCAATAATTGTTACAAAAAAACTCTTTTTATGTATTTTGTATTCTTTTTGAAATTTTCAGTCCTTGCCAGCTTTGAAATCTTTTTGTATTTTCTCCTGTATTGGAATTCTTGGTCTGTTTGGACTGTCCACAACCTTTTTTCTGGCTGCGTTTACACTGGATATCATGAGGACTGAGCAGGGCCGCAATGCCTGTATCTGTTGTTACAAGCACAAACCCGACTATAAGCCAAACAACTGCAGTCAGAGAAACCTGTTCAACATTTTTCTACGCAAATGCTACACACCTGTTCTATTGAAGTTACCTGTTAAGGTATGCACTTGTATTAATTCTTGACAATAGAAAGTTGGTCTTTATGTGTTGAGGCTAATGAATAGCCAATCCATTTTTGTACTGTATGTTTTTTGTATGAGTTTTAAGTGCTAGATTTTTAACTTAATTAGTCTGCAAGCTCAAATGATTTTTCTTTTTGTTAAATGTTCTCATTTTCTGTGTATTTTTACATTTTTTTCACTTCTGCAATAAAAAACCACTACACCAATTTGAACATATACAAAAAATACGGGTAATTGAGATTCAAGGTTAAGTGATGTTCCTCTTTCCAAGGTGAAGATTAAGACACAGTGGAAATAGGATGTTTCATTCAATAAAAGCTACTAGGGCAGAAATTCACATTTAGCAAATATTACAAGAATCATATCAGAAAGTTTTAATATGATTGCTCAGGTTTTTTATCTCACCTGAACCAAAGGTTCAAGTGAACTTTACTGATCACCAGTCATTGCTACAGGTCTGTTTTCATTCATCGTTGTGCATCTTGTGTTAACATTTGAACATTTTCATCTTCTTCTCTGAAACCACTGAACCCAATTCAACCAATGCAAATAGCATTTAAATGCAATCTTTAAAAATCTTTTTCTTTGAAAATGCATTATTTCTTTGAAAATCTTCTCTGCTCTTGGGTATTATTTAAACAAACTAAGTGCATGGTTACGATAAGCAAGGATGCCAGTTCCAAAAGTGTGAAATTCATGGAGGTTCTGGTGAAAGAGGGAGGGGCTCTATTGATAATATAGTGAAAATGTGTTAATTGTTTTAAAATCTTCAACTAAGTGCATAGTAAGAGGATGAGGGTTGTGAATTTCATGACCTTGGATCATGGGTTCAGGTGTTAGAGTAGGGCTGTGTTGAATTTGTAGTAAAAATGCATTATTTCTTTGATAATCTTCTCTGCTACTGGGCATATCGGAGGCAAACAGAGTAAAAGTTTTAATAAACAAGGATGTTTTTACCAGATTTGAACATTTAGACCATTTGGTCAAGTGTTGTGGTCCTGGCCAGGGCTGTATTAATTTGAATTCTACTGAGAGAAGTTATTCCCCTTTGTCATTCACCTTTGATAATTAATCACTGTAGATAGTGTATTTGAAAGGTTAATAGAATAAGAGAATTATGCAAGAATTTTTATTATTACTTTCATAGTTTTAATGATCAGGTAAACTTGTAAATAATGTGCAAGTAAAAATTAGACAAAAATAACTTATTTTTAAAATGTTTTTCTAAGACTAACAGAGGCCAATATGAGAGATAATATTTTGAGGGTAAAATAGTACTGCTGCACTAATATTTTCTTAATAGTCTGCATGGTAATAATGATTTAAAATGGGGGACAGACTAGAACTTTGTTCTAAGTTGTTACTGAATACTAGATTAATTATTTTGTTGCTAGTTCTTTTGCTTTTGGGCAACAAAGCTTCATCTGTCAGTTTATTTTATACTCTATGGATCTTCTGAATTGTTGTATTATACTCAGGTGACTGTTAAGGCCCTTTGGCTCTTGTTTTTTGGTTTTTTGTTTTGTTTTTGTTTTTGTTTTTGTTTTTTTGATTTTTTTTACTTACTTTTTTAATCAAAACATGTAAGTGACACTGATAACAAAGGAAATGGTGCTTTCAAGCATTTCTGTGACATATATTTAAAGTAGAATTTTTTGTACATGTCAGGGACCAACCTAGATCCAGACTTTAGGGAGACTTCACTTCTCCCACAAAACAAATTTAGGGAGAAGTTTTTAAAAAATCAAGGAGACGTAATATTTTTTACAATAAATAACTGACACCCCCCTCTTCAGTTTTTTAACACTTTTAAAAAAAAGTTTTATATATGTTTAAGAACCCTCTATACACTGCACACTAAAGAGTTCCAATTCCATGGTATTTTTATGCAGTTAGAGTGAGATGCCTTAGATATAAAATGAAATAAATTGAAATATTAATTTATTATTCAATTTGTAATCAATTCAAACATTCTAAACATTTCATTTGGTCTAGTTGAATTAATTGAACACCTTATTTGCATGTATTTCTGCCATTTAAGTAAGCAACAGTGATTTCAGTTCACCAACAATTCATCGTCTTTCAATATTTTTCCTGGGGATAAATGGCAGGTACCCTATGTTGAAAATTAAATAGATAAACTCCATATTTATATCTTTATATGATTTAATTTTCTCAGAGCCTAAAAATCATTTTTCATTGGTGTATAGAGGGTCCTTAAATATGAAAGAAATTTAATTAAATTTTGTTATTAAACTCTTATTCAAATCTACCTAAAGAAAATTCAATATATCAAACTACTGAACATTGTTTAGTTTTATTACAGTCATGATTGATTAAAACAAATTAGTGGACATACTGTTTTTGTGTGTGTGTGTTGGGGGGGGGGGGGGGGGGGGGGGGGGAGAGGGAATTGTTTTCCTAATTGTTTATAAGGTCACCTGAGTCATTCAGGTGACCTTTTGCTATCTGTTGTCGATCGGTCATAAACTTTTGAACATTTTGAGCTTCTTCCCTTGTAGCTGCAGAACTGTAGCTCTCCGGAAAAAAAAAATATTGACAGACTGGAGAGGTACAGTGCCACCCATAGAGAAAAACGTATATTTATTGCACACAATAATTGCGCCCAATTCTGGATTTAATCTCCAAATTCTTACCTCATCTGCACAAAAGCTCGATTTCATAAAATTTCTTAGACCTTTATCAACTACAGATGTAGTTGACATCTGCACAAAGCGCAGTGGGCTGAACTGCCTTGCCACCCAAAATGGCAGTATAAATGAGCGAAATTTTCGATGGTCTCCATTTCAGGCCCAGGTGGGCTATTACCAACGGTTATGGTGAAATGTTTTGTTGTCGAAATAGTTAAAGAATATGTTAGGAATGCTGGGCTAGTAATATTTTGAGATGGCAGTTTAAATATATGGAGGAATAAAATAAGAATCGAGCGCAATTTTTTTGTGCGCAATAAATATACAGTTTTCTCTATGGGTGGCACTGTAGCTCTCCAGTCTGTCAATATTTTTTTTTGGAGAGCTACAGTTCTGCAGCTACTCTGAAACCATTGAACTGATTTTAACCAATTTTGACATATAGCATTTATGGGTAAAGGGGAAAAAATTGTGAAATTTATGACCCCTACTCCCCTGGGGCCTGAGGGGTGGGGCTAAAACTACCAAAATTAATACAATCTTTAAAAATCTTCTTCTTTACTCCAGTTCATCAAGCACAGACTGTTGGCATGATTGTAACAAACATTGAGTCCTCTACGAAATTGTGAAATTCATGGCCCCAATGTCAGGGGTTGTGGTGTTAGGGTGGGGCTCTAATGATATTATAGTCAAAATGCAATAATTCTTCTAAAATCTCCTTCTCTGCTCCTGGATATGTACCGATGAACTAAATACATAATAATGATGAGCAAGAGTGCGTCTTCCAAAATTGTGAATTTCATGGCCCCTGGATCAGGGGTTCTAGTGTTAGGACAGGGCTGTATTGATTATATAGTGGAAATACATTAATTTTTTGAAAATCTCCTCCTCTGCTCCTGGATATTAAGCCAATCTGAGTACATAGTTATGATGAGGAAGAATGCCTCTTCCAAAAATATGAATTTCATGGCCCCTGAGTCAGGGTTTTAGTGTTAAGGCAGGGCTTTAATGATTATATATTGAAAATGCATTATTCTTTGAAAATCTTCTCCTCTGCTCCTGGGTATTAAGCTGATGAACTAAGTGCATAGTTATGATGGGGAAGAGTGTCTCTTCCAAAATTGTGAATTTCATGGCCCCAGAGTCAGGGTTCTAGTGTAAGGACGGGGCTCTCATTCTTTTCTTTGCTTCTAGATATTAAGGAGGCAAACAGAGTACACAACTGTAGTAAGTGAAGGAAGTGAGAGTTACTCCCCTTTGCTAGATGTTGTTAATCAAGAAATCCTTATATATAATTTAATTAACAGGTTATTTGATTGAAGAGAATTTGAGAATACAAGAAAGAATGTTATATATATAGAAACAAAATAAAAATGAATATTTGGTTTATATGAGCAAAGCATGCTCAAAGTCAGATTCTTGCCTGGAAAGCAATATAAAAGATTGACATAAAGATTATTTATATATTTAGCAAAAAAATTTTATTGTACACAGTATACTGTGTATACACTGTGGTGATCTGATTGACAGTAGATGAGGCTGGATAAAGTTGTTTGATACTTTATCAAAGTGGACAAAGAATCAGAGAGAGCCAGGGTGACTTATTATAATTAGTGTATCTAATGGCAAATGTATACCTAAGTCTGTGTGTACTGAATAGTAGCACTAGGCAAGTGACGAAAACATGTCTGTATATATTGAACAGGTTGGAGAGAATACTCGAAATCGGGTATTATCCGTGAAATCGCGTATAGTACTCGATATCAGGGTATCGTTGAATCCGTGAAATCGGGTATACCGTGCAACTTTCTGTAAAAACAGAAAAATAAAGCAACGGCGCATTGTGTCAGTTAGTGTTACTTGTACATCAGTATCTTGGGAGTTTATTTTTATTGAACTCAATTTAAATTGTTGTCTGACAAGTTTAAAATCACACGACAAACACTGCTGGGGTAGCAAAGAAGGCACGGTGGCGTCATTATTTTTCAGTACAAGTTCTAAAAACAAATAACAAACTACATGTCATCTGTGTTTATTTCCCTATAAATTATTCCCCAAGCTTAATTTCTTAACCTGTGCATTATTCACAAAATGTGAAACTTTGAAGAAATTTAACGACTAACGCTGTGTTATGTATTTTTTACTTAAAAATGTATGGTGTCCCTTTCACGTTAAATTTAAATTATTCCTCAGTTGGTAAGTGCATGTATTTCTCATCGATAAAGAAGACCGACGTTTTCATAAGGGAAAAAAAAAATAAAATAAAAACAAACAAACAAACATAAAAAAACAACAAAGGGAAAGCAGGTTGAAAAATTATATAAAATGAATGTCTACATGTGTACATGCATGTAAACTTAAATACATTTTTAAAAATCAACACAGTGTATATTGATAAAGGTAAAGAATCTTTAGTAAAATCATCAGTTCCTCCTATGGTGTATATATACAGTCCTGCAATTTCCGCGGGGAAAGGGGGGGTGCATATTTTTTTAAAGAAAATATTTTAACGTCAGTTTACCATGAAAATTTTCATTCAAAGAACCTGCCAATGTTTTGGTTGCATTTTGATTGATGCAAGCGACGTTATTTTACCTGTTTGTGTTTGTTTGGAAATTGAGAACGAGATGTCTTGTTAAAAGGATTTTCGTTTAGCTGGGGGGGGGGGGGAGGGGGGGGCTTGGTTCATATATATAAATAAAAAAAAATCCAATTCGCACATCTTTTCGTGTGGTTATTATACATTCTCAATATAGAACTAATATTCAAATATGAATTATATATTAAAGTTTTCACATATTATACTGTTTTTATTTTTTATACATATGAACAAACTGAAGTGGAGTGTTCAATCGCGTCCAAGCTTAAGTCTTGAGCTGCATTGTTTTTAATTAATCATCCATAAAGATTAGAGACACCTTCTTTTATTATTATTATAGTATTGGATAGACAGGGTAGATTTTCCCTTCAGAGTCTGTAGTTTATTTTAGGTTATAAAGCTTTAAACCTCATTATAATATGCTAAAATACATTATCTGATTGATTCTAGACAGTTGACAGGGAACTAAAACTTTATAATTCCCTGTCTTTTCTGTAATCTGTGATACTTATTACTCATGGTTATCACTTTTTGTTATTATTTATCTATGGTGAAAAATGTGTTAAAAAATAAACATGAAGTTTAGTTATTTTTAAAACTTGTCGAATGTGGTAGAAAATAACAGATTTCTATTTTAACCTCATATTGTTTCGGCATATAAACAATTATTGCATGAATGTTTTGGAGATATGAAGAATTCTATTCACTCAAGAGGGCAAAATAGGGAATCAATATGATTTTTATTAGATGAATAGATCTTCTCTCATTATCATGCAATGAATATATACCATTCAATGACGTTTAGCACAAAACTCTACAATAACATTTTACATTTAATTTGATTATTTTGAAAGGGGAGGGATGTTTCTCTTGGACACATGCATAACACATTCGAGGTTAATTTTCGCTTGACCGAGATAGTCCGGACAAGGAATAATTAATGTAAGCAGCTAGTAACAACTGTTATAGCTATTCACTTTTGTCCCCTGAAGTCGCCGAAAAATGGTAAAATATTGCCGACTCAGCAAAATTAAATGATACAACAGTTATTTTCTCTCACAAGCTATGTTGCTGGGAACATCATTGTCTTTGCTAAAATGTTGGAGGCGTGGTGAATCCAAAGGAAATTTTAATAATTTAAAAAAAAAAAAATAAGAAAGAATATGTCGCCTTTTATAACTTCTGGGAATTAGCTTTAATTGTCATTCTCTGTTTATAAAACATATATACTGGTACAAGATATATGTAAGGAATGCTATTCAACGACAAAAAAATCAACTGATGAAAATAGATTCATAACACACCCACCCACCCCCCCCCTCCAAAAATACTGAATAATATACGTGTTATATTAGTTTTTGCCGTAATTTGAAACATTTAAACCATTAAATAGTTTATACATTTTGTAATGAATTATTTTTATGCACAAGATGAATGTTAAAGCAATTAATGACACATAATTAAATACGATAGAAAACCCCCTGTTTAAATGTCAGATTATTTTGTGTGTGAAATGTGTTTCCGTATAAATTGAATTATTTACAAAATGTTCATGTTTGTCGTATTGATGTGGAAATATTATAAATTCCAGACTTCTGATTTTTAATAGTTCTGTTGTGTTGGGTATGAACATGAAGAAGATGCAAATACTTTTAACATTATATAAAATATTAAAGCAGAACGAACGTTTGTTTGGGTGCAGATCATGAAATGTACTAAGCACCACGGGATTTGTTGTCCTATGCGCATTAATTCAGACTTCCAAATTGTTATTTGGCTAGTGATACTGTTAGATAACATTTGTTTCTAGGTGAAAGTTGATTTGGCAAAATGCGCCATCCCATTGTTTAAGTTTTATAAGGTGATTACACCACCTATACCCGATTTCGCGGATACAACGATACCCCAATTTCGGGGACTATACGAGATTTCACGGATAATACCCGATTTCGAGTATTCTCTCCAACCTGTTGAATACCTTACACAATAGGCAAGTATTCATTGTGTTTGTATATTTTGCTTTCATTATCATCTCTGTAAGACTTGGGAAAACCAAGTATGATCCCAAGGAGATCACTCAGGTCTAGCATGTTACAATAAGCAAGGGTATTTTTTCCAGATTTTTGAAATTTTTGAGCAACATTGCTTAATCGTCTATCAGATATTTTTGTTTTATACTTCTTTGGATCCTTTACAGTGTTGTATTATACTCAGGTGACCGTTAAGACGCTTGGGTCTCTTGTGTGCAGTAACATTAAGTTTGAGAACTATAGCTTTGTTTTACAGATTGTAGTTGTGGTGATATCAGTAGCACTGTTAGGACTAAACATCTATGGGTTCTACAGCCTCAAGCAAGACTACAATGAAAACTGGTTCTTTCCAACTGATTCTTATGCCTACGAATTCTATGAGAAGAAGGATGACTATTTTCCAGGAGGAGGAGCTCGTGCTGCTGTCTACTGCAGTAAGTTGATTATGATGTCATGTTTTTCATTGTTGAAAATTGTTCCAAATGATCTTAAGTTTGCATTGAATGAATATTCTTTCTATGAGTGGGGGGGGGGGGGGGTAACTTTAAGCAGGGAAAAATTGACAAATTGACCATGAACATGCATTAGACTGCTTAAAGAAGTCAAAGTAATAAATCAACACTGTCAGATATGTTTGTGACAGAGTTTGATTTTAAAGATAAAATACTGTTAACTAATGACCTAGTATACTATTCTTTGCAACAACATTTTTGTGATTTGTCAGTATGAAATCCACCCGTGACAATAATTATCCTGACTAAGGAAACATTATTCATAAATACACCATTAAATAATGAAATTGTGGCAAGAAATATCTGCAAGGATTAGAAGGTACTGAAGTCTGTGAAAAGAATGATTGCACTTAGTGTACAAAACGTGGCCCCCGGTAAATTGCGCAAAAATAAAGTATAGAAAATAGCCCCATGAGATTAATAATGCGATTCTTCTATGTCTAAATCACAACTTTGCGAAATAACAGGAATTAAAAGTCCATAAAAATAAAGAACAAAGGTGTGTTTTGTAAGAGGGGTCACTGCAATTCATGAATTTCCATTGATATTCATAGTTATTCCGATTTTTAAAGCCTTAATACATGGTGAGCGCATTGTTGCCCAAATTTCTAAAAAGGACAGAAGGTGTATAATTGTTGGAAATTCATCATATTTAAAGGAGAATTTTGGGCAAGCCTGCGCTTGGGGTAAACTTTTTGAAAAAAGGTACAAAACACCGTTTCCTTCACTATTCACGGGTATTTACATGTCATTGACCTCATTATGACCTGTTAAATATTCCAATTTATCACGTGATTTGTAGACTCGGGTAACTTTGTGAATACCCAAAAAAATCAATAAAGCACGTGGCTTGAGCACCGATTAGAAATTCAGACCATTACATTTTCAATTGATCAACATTGAATTATTTTTTTCTGCCCAGTATTTTTAGTAGTGCCAAATTTTACTAAAATATTCATTATTTTGTAAGTAAATTTTACATTTTTGAATATTTCCAAACCGTTTTTTTTTTCTGTAATTTTGCTTATTTTTCTCTGTAATTTTGCTTACTAGTATTTTTTTTTCTCCCCATCCGTTCTTTTTGGTACATTTCCTACATTTTTTGCTTTGTTTATTTTGTATCAATTATGTATTTACGTTGACCTTGATGTAGGGAGAGGGCTAAAATAGTCTGACTCTTCTACTAAATTCTATTTACTTTTCTTAACAAATTATTCTTTAAATTAAAACATACATCTATATTGATTACAAGAATTCAATATATACAAAGGAGTTTTTTAGGTATACATGTATAAAATTCCTCTTTTTGTAAAATCCATGCCAGAAGGAAGCAATTTCAGTTTTTGGGGCACAGCCATACATTTTCAGTTGGGGGCATTATCAACTACCAAAAATTCCTTGACAAGCAAAAAAAGGGGGGTATCCGACGTAATTATTGAGGGGGCACAAGTGTATGCTATGTTTTCTACAGTGTTCTATATATCGGCGAAATTGGGGGGGGGGGGGGCTCCGTGACCCCCCTTCCCACGGTTCCTACGGCCATGAAGCGATGATAATAGTGGCATCCAATGGATATTAATATTGTTCAGGTATTAGGTCCACATTTGAAGACAGAAAAAATAATGGTGCTACCATTCATAAGAAAAATTTGACAAATGAGGGTAATGGAATTTTAAATCGGGCAAAATGTAATGATATTTTAGTTTTAGTCCTTGGATTTAGGGGTTCGCTTGGGGGCTCAATGAGTTTCCAAGGCATAGTCTACATCTTAGCAATAGCATCATTCCTCAAAATGTTTTTGATTGTAAAAATTTAGAGATTAAGTATCACTACAGCATCGCAAAAAAATGTTTTGTTTTGTTATTCCGTACACCAGTATTTACTGTGCTTAAGTACGGAGAGAGAGAGAGAGTTTTACAAACTGTATATTATTTTAAAATTTCGATATGGCACTAATCTTTTTGAAAATACAGAAGTTGTTTTTCTTTTATATTATTTTTTTCATTAACATGTTTACATGTACAAGTTGGCCTGGGGCCTGTTTTACAGAAGAACTGACGACTAAGACCAAAATCTAATTCTGCTTATAACTTTTTAATTTACATAATATCGAAAATGGTTTTCTTCTTTTTAAAAGGAATGTAGTAAGATATTTTTACGCATTCAACTTTAAATAGAATCATTAATTTTGCAAAATTTTACAATCAACTTGGGTTTTTGGTCTTAGTCGTAAGTTCTTTTGTAAAACGGGCCCCAGGCCTACTTGGTTTATTTAGTGTTGATTTTCCAAGTATACGCCATGTACCTTTCTTAAATTGTGATCCCTATTTAAAATAAAAAATATTTTCGAAACAAACGTAACCTGTCATTCACCTGTTGTTTTTTAAGTAAGCTGCTATATTTTGTTTATTTACTATACAACTTCAAGGATCTACCAGAACCTACCAAAAATTGGGAAAAATCTGGATTTAGGGAGGGATTACATGTACATCTTCAAGATCCTCCCCCGCACCCCTCTTTCCAAAAAAAAAAATTGCTTAATCCTTGAGAAGTTTAAACATGTTCTTTGTGTTTACTTTTGTGTACATTGTATATTTTTTTTATTATATCATGCTGAGTAGTTCCCAGAAGCCAGGCTATTACATGTTTTCAATCGATCGATGAAATGCCCCGCCTACTCTGAATATTAATGAGACACAATTAAAACCCAGCTCGGACATGCGCAACATTCCGGAATTAACACCCACTAGTGGGCATTTTTAATTACCTTTAATAAAACTAAAGCGTCGTTTTCAATGTAAATTTTCGTAAGTAATGTACCACACAGATAACAAAATATGGGTTAGGTGTAAAAGAATTAAGATTTGAGTTTATTAGATGATGTTAGAGGGGTCCGAAAAAGGGGCCACGGCAATATGCTTAAGTGGAAACATTCTTTCTTGCACTTAAACAAAATTGGTTTACAGTATGTTGAAGGTATAATGATTGACAGCTGGTTAAGGTTGATCTTATCAGAGGGAATATTTATAATATTGATGTAGGTAATAAATTATGGAAGATGTTTTCAAAATCAATATTTAGAAATTCTAGATTTCAAACATTTTAATAAGTAAAAACATAAACTTCATTTGGGTTTAATCTTACTGACTCATCACTTTTTTAAACGAATTTCAATGAATGTTGATCAAAACAAAATCTTTTGTTGGTTTAAGAGGTTTATCCCCCCCCCCCCCCAATAATGAAAGAGTTTAATTTCAACATGTTATTCACAATATAGATGAAGTAAGCCTTTACCCAATTACCTAATGAAATAAACAGATTCAGAATGCCTAACCCAAGGTTAACCTTGTCAGATCTTGGGTTAAAATGCTGACTTGCTGTACATTTTTGTATTTTTAGGTCACCCGAGTCACTCAGGTGACCTATTGCTATCCGTTTTTTTCCGTTGTCCGTCATGTGTTAACATCTGAATATTTTTAGCTTCTTCTTTGAAACTGCTCAAACAATTTCAACTAAATTTGGCATATAGCATCTATGGGTAAAGGGGAACAAAAATTATGAATTTCATGGTCCCTGCCCTCCTGGGGTCTCAGGGGTGGGGCTAAAACCAACAAAATTAATGCAATCTTTAAAAATCTTCTTCTTTACTCCTGGACATCAAGCAGTCAAACATGACATGATTGTAATAAGCATTGAGCCCTCTACCAAAATTGTGAAATTCATGGCCCCAGGGGTTCTGGTGCAAGGGTGGGGCTATATAGATCACATAGTGAATGTGCATTATTTCTCTCTTTGAAAATCTTCCTTTCTGCTCATGGGTATTAAATAAACTAAGAACATAGTTATGAAGAGCAAGAGTGCTTCTTTCAAAATTCTGAACTTCATGGCCCCAGGGTCAGGGGTTCTGGTGTTAGGGCGGGGCTCTATTGATTATGTAGTGAAAATGCATTAATTCTTTGAAAATCTTCTCTGCTCCTGAGTATTAAATAAACTAACTTGAGTTATGACGAGCACGGTTGCCTCTTCCAAAATTGTGAATTTCATGGCCCCTGGGTCAGGGGTTCTATTGATATATATAATGAAAATGCATTAATTCTTTGAAAATCTTCTTCATGATGGGCATGGCTGCCTCCTCAGAAATTATGAATTTCATTGCCCCTGGGTCAGGGGTTCTGGTGTTAGGGCTGGGCCTATTGATTATACATGTGTATAGGGAAAATGCATAATTTTTTTCAAAATCTTCTTTTCTGCTCCTGGGTATTATTCAAACAAAGTGCATGATAATGATATGGAAGAATGCCTCTTCCAAAATTGGGAAATTCAGGGGTCAATGAATGGGTCAGGGTTCTGGTGAAGGGGGGGGGGCTCTATTGATTATATAGTGAAAATGCATAAATTCTTTCAATATATTTTTTCTACTACTGGTTTTAAAAACAAAGAAACAAGTCTATAGTTATGATGAGCAAGGGTGCTCTTCCAGAATTGTGAGTTCATGGCCCCTGGGTCAGATGTTCTGGTGTAAGGGTGGGCTTTATTTCTTTAGTAATGTAGTGAAAATGCATTTCTTTGAAAATCTACTATGCATCTGGGCATATTCGAGGCAAACAGTAAAAGTTTTAATTTGCAAGGGTATTTTTACCAGAATTTTGAACACCTGGTAAATAATGTATATGAAAGATTAATAGAACAAGAGAATTATGCAAGAATATTTATTGTATAATACAGAAAGTACTTTCATAGTTTTAATGATCAGGTAGACTTGGAAATAATAGATGAATAAAAATGAGACAAAAATAACTTATCTTTTTAAATGTTCTTCAGAGGCCAAGAGAGGCCAATGTGAGAAGTAATAATATGGGATTAAAAAATAGACATTTTGTTAATAGTCTGCATGGTAATAGTGATAAATGGGGGACAGATAGATACTAGACCAATTATTTTGTTGATACTAATCATACTAATTTTCTTGCTTTTGGGGAAACAAAGCTTCATTTATCAGTTTATGGATCCTCTAAATTGTTGTATTGTACTCAGGTGACAGTTAAGGCCCTTGGGCCTCTTGTTAGCTCACCTGAGCTGAAAGCTTAAGGCAGCTTTTCTGATCACCTGTCGCCCGTCAGTCTGTCCATCCTTCTGTCCATCTGTAAACTTTTCACATTTTCAACTTCTCAAGAACCACTGGTCCAATTTTAACCAAAATTGGTACAAAGCATCCTTAGGTGAAGGGTGTTTAAATTGTTAAAATAAAGGGCCAAGCCCTCTTACAAGGGGAGATATTCAGGAAAAGACAAAAATAGGGTGGGGTCATTAAAAAATCTTCTTCTCAAGAACCACTGGGCCAGAAAAGCTGAAACTTATGTGGAAGCATCCTGGGGTAGTGTAGATTCTGAATTGTTCAAGTCATGATCCCCGGGGGTAGGGAGGGGCCACAATAGGGAATCAAAGTTTTACATTGAAATATTTAGGAAAAATCTTCTTCTCAAGAACCATTTGGCCAGAAAAGCTGAAACTTATGTGGAAGCATCCTGGGGTAGTGTAAATTCTAAATTGTTCAAATCATGACCCCCAGGGTAGGGTGGGGCCACAATAGGGAATCAAGTTTTTCATTGATATATGTAGAAAATATCTTTAAAAATCTTCTTCTCAAGAACCACTTGTCCAGAAAAGCCGAAACTTATGTGGAAGCATCCTGGGTTAGTGTAGAATCTAAATTGTTCAAATCATGACCCCCCACTGGCCCTAGGGGTAGGGCAGGGCCACAATAGGGAATCCAAGTTTTACATTGAAATATATAGGAAAAATCTTCTTCTCAAGAACCACTTGGCCAGAAAAGCTGAAACTTATGTGGAAGCATCCTGGGGTAGTGTAGATTCTGAATTGTTCAAATCATGACCCCCCGGGGGTAGATAGGGGCCACAATAGGGAATCCAAGTTTTACATTGAAATATATAGGAAAAATCTTCTTCTCAAGAACCAATTAGCCAGAAAAGCTGAAACTTACGTGGAAGCACCCTGGGGTAGTGTAGATTCTAAATTGTTCAAATCATGACCCCAGGGGGTAGGGAGGGGCCACAATAGGTATTACAAGGGGGAAATCAGGTTAAGAAGTTACTCAGGTGAGCATTGTGGCCCATGGGCCTCTTATTTAATTTAGGAAATTGTATTTATATTGAATTTCACAAAGTGCTGAAATCCCCTCAGATACTCTAGAGGTTGTCATGATATCATCTCATGGTAGATCTCATCAAATTCCAAAATGTGATGGTGTTTAGTGCATGATGAATTTCCCACATGAATACATGCAGAAGAACAAATGTTGGTACATTGTACTACATGAACCAATGGGATGAACAAAAACTATTGTTATAAAAGTATTATTTTGTAGTATTCACATGTTTTTAATTTTAATTTTTTTTTTTAGGAAACATTGACTATTTTAATGGAAAAGCCCGATTTGATAATTTGTACATGCAGCTGAACAGCAGTCAGTATATAGCAACAGGTTCCGTGGACAGCTGGTTCCATTCCTACACAGCATGGTTAGGGACTAACCCAGCAGCAGCATCAGGCAAAGTGGATGCTTGTATGTACAATAGGTTAAAATACTCTATCTATTGTGAGCTAAAAAATGTATTCCCATATATCAAAAATAAGTACTAGTATTTTAAGGCATTATAATAATTTACAAGGGTTGTCCCAGAAAAATGTGAAATTCTTATATATTTCCTAAACTACTGAGCTAAAAAATGTATTCCCATATATCAAAAATAAGTATTAGTATTTTGAGGCATTATAATAATTTACAAGGGTTGTCTCAGAAAAATGTGGAATTCTTATATATTTCCTAAACTACTTGACCAGAATGATTTATTTTTTGCACATTATTGGGAAATGATACAGTTGAACTTTGGTATCTCGAACACTGATATCTGGAATAGCATGGATATGTCAAAGTGATTTGGAAGTCCCAGCTACTTATTCTTGAAGTTTACCCTCTATATCTCAAATCATTGGATATCTCGAAGTTTTTTCTCAGTCCTATCAAGTTCAAAATAATGAGGTTTGACTGTATTTTAAGGAGACAAAAATTTTATGAGGTTATCATATACATAATGTAACAGCAATTAACGGGTGTTAAAGCACCTAAACTTTTTAGGTCACCTGAGTCACTCAGGTGACCTATTGCTATCCGTTTTTGTCTGTCGTCGTCCGTCGTGCGTCATGCGTTAACTTTCGAACATTTTCAGCTTCTTCTCTAAAACCGCTCAACCAATTTCAACCAAATTTGGCATATAGCATCTATGGGTGAAAGGGAACAAAAATTGTGAATTTCATGGTCCCTGCCCCCCTGGGGCCTGAGGGGTGGGGCTAAAACCACCAAAATTAATGCAATCTTTAAAAATCTTCTTCTTTATTCCTGGACATCAAGCAGTCAAACTGTTGGCATCATTGTAATAAGCATTGAGCCCTCTACCAAAATTGTGAAATTCTTGGCCCCAGGGTCAGGGGTTCTGGTGCTAGGGTGGGGCTATATAGATCACATAGTGAAAGTGTATTATTTCTTTGAAAATCTTCTTCTCTGCTCCTGGGTATCAAATAAACTAACTAAGTACATAGTTATGAAGAGCAAGAATGCCTCTTCCAAAATTATGAATTTCATGGCCCCAGGGTCAGGGGTTCTGGTGTTAGGGCGGGGCTCTATTGATTATATGGTGAAAATGCATTAATTCTTTGAAAATCTTCTTCTCTGTTCCCGGGTATTAAAAAAACAAACCAAGTATGAAGTTATGATGAGCAAGAGTGCTTCTTCCAAAATTGTGAATTTCATGGCCCCAGGGTCAGGGGTTCTGATGTTAGGGCGGGGCTCTATTGATTATATAGTGAAAATGCATTAATTCTTTTAAAATCTTCTTCTCTGCTTCTGGGTATTAAATAAAGTAACAAAGAACATAGTTATGATGAGCAAGAGTGCCTCTTCCGAAATTGTGAATTTCATGGCCCCAGGGTCAGGGGTTCTGGTGTTGGGGGGGGGGGGGGGGGAGGCTCTATTGACTATATTGTGAAAATGCATTAATTCTTTGAAAATCTTCTTCTCTGCTCCATGGTATTAAATAAAGTAACTAAGTACATAGTTATGATGAGCAAGAGTGCCTCTTCCGAAATTGTGAATTTCATGGCCCCAGGGTCAGGGGTTCTGGTGAAAGGGGGGGGGGTGGCTCTATTGACTATATAGTGAAAATGCATTTATTCTTTGAAAATCTTCTTCTCTACTCCTGGGTATTAAATAAACTAACTAAGAACATAGATATGATGAGCATGGCTGCCTTTTCAGAAATTGTGAATTTCATGGCCCCTGGGTCAGGGGTTCAGGTGTGGGGGGGGGGGGGGCTCTATTGATTATTTGCATTAATTCTTTGAAAATCTTCTTCTCTACTCCTGGGTATTAAATAAACAAACTTAGTGCATAGTTATGATGAGCATGGTTGCCTCTTCCAAAATTGTGAATTTCATGGCCCCTGGGTCAGGGGTTCTGGTGTCAGGGTGGGGCTCAATTGATATATATAGTGAAAATGCATTATTTCTTTGAAAATCTTTTCTCTCCTGGATATTAAATAAACTAAGTACATAGTTATGATGAGCATGGCTGCCTCCTCAGAAATTGTGAATTTTGTGGCCCCTGGATGAAGGGTTCTGGTGTTTTGTCGGGGCTCTATTGATATATAAGGAAAATGCATAAATTCTTTCGAAATCTTCTTCTCTGCTCCTTGGTATTGTTCAAACAAAAGGAAGTGCATGGTTATGATAAGGAAGAATGCCTCTTCCAAAATTGTGAAATTCATGGCCCATGGATCAGGGGTTCTTTTGGGGGGGGGCCTCTATTGATTTTATAGTGAAAATGCATAATTTCTTTCAAAATATTTTTTCTACTACTGGTAATAAAGCAAAGAAACAAGTGTATAGTTATGATGAGCAAAGTGCTTCTTCCAGAATTATTAGTTCATGGCCCCTGGGTAAGATTTTCTGGTGTAAAGAGGGAGGGGGGCTTTAATTATTTAATAACATAGTGAACATGCATTTCTTTGAAAATCTTGTATTCTTCTGGGCATATTCGAGGCAAACAGAGTAAAAGTTTTAATATGCAAGGGTATTTTTACCAAAATTTTGAACACCTGGATTATTTAGTCAAGTATTCTGGTCCTGGCCAGGGCTCTATGAACTTGTATTCTGCTGAGCAAAGTTATTCCCCTTTGCCATTCACCTTTGATAATTTATCACTGTAAATAATGTATTTGAAAGGTTAATAGAATAAGAGAATTATGCAAGAATATTTATTGTATAATACAAAAAGTACTTTCATAGTTTTAATGATCAGGTAGACTTGGAAATAATAGATGAATAAAAGTGAGGCAAAAATAACTTATCTTTTTTAATGTTCTTCAAAGGCCAAAAGAGACCAATGTGAGAAGTAATAACATGAGGTTAAAAATAGATATTTTGTTAATAGTCTGCATGGTAATAGTGATAAATGGGGGACAGATAGATTCTATACCAATTATTTTGTTGATGCTTATCATACTTGTCTATTTTTCTTGCTTTTGGGCAACAAAGCTTCATTTATCAGTGTATGGATCCTCTAAATTGTTGTATTGTACTCAGGTGACCGTTAAGGCCCTTGGGCCTCTTGTTTTACTTTAACAGAATAGCCTTGTCAGCAACGTTTCATTGCAAATTTAAATGGAAATATAATCTTGATAATGTCACAAAATTTACCTTGATAAAATTTCTCTGATTTGTGGTACTAATTGTGAAAAGAATGAATCTTCATACCACTGCTTTCTCACCCCTTTTTTTAAATGCAGAATTTTACCTTTTCAAATCATAACATTGTCACATTATAGCTAAAGTCTTCATAGGTACTCATAAAAGATTTTTTTGGGAAAGAGACTTTCAATATATACATGATACTGATTAAATAAAATTGTATACTTCACTGAAAAATCCCGGCTTAGCCATTACAACAATATAGGTCATTGTATTATTTGAATAAGAAGGTGGGGCGTCTATCAAGTGTGCGATGAGTGTGAATACATTAGTGTGTGTTGGAGGTATACTAAGTTTTATGAATAATTGACACTTAGAACCCCTCTTATTTCATGCTAGAGACAAAATATAAGAATACATTCTTAATTTGGCAGGCTTTTTTCTGTTTAACTTATGAAATTTTTTTTTAAATGATTTTCTAAAAATTCGTTAAAATTATTTATACATTAAATACACAATGGAATCTGTAAACAGAGCGTATAAAGCAGGATACACTATTTTTCATATGTTAAAGAAACCTTATTGTAAAAGAAATAATTTGTTTAAGCTTAATACATTAAGTGTATGATTAGAATTTATTTCAGAGCATATATATAATTTTAAAATCCGAATGCTACAACAAAAATACGCAGGCGGTTGATTTATGATACAAAACTATACTATGTGTACAAAAAATAAATCGTTAAGAAAGTGAAAATTAATGCCCTGTTCACACGGAGAGTTTAATTCGCAGTAAATTAATTAATGCGAAATGATGCGAATCAAACTAATGCGAATTAAATTGCGTTCACACGACAGCTAATGCGAAGTAAACTAATGCGAATTAAAATTTTATTCCTACAACAAGGCTATTCAAAGGCTATTATGACGTCATTTACAAATCACGTCATTTTGTGCAGAGCAGATCTACATTTGACATAATGTCATAGTGTCTGTACACATTTTAGTGATTAACATAATTTTCCTTTGTTTTCCACTCAAAAATAGCACAAGTACCTATATTTGACCATCGACATGTGGCCTGTGACTTAATTCTGCCCTTACGCATGCGTCAAAATTTAATTCGAATTAGCTTCGCTTAGCGTTCACACGGAGCTAATGCGAAGTAATTTAATGTGTAGTAAACTAATTCGCATTAAATTCTCCGTGTGAACGCAGATCAAATTTAATTCGCAGTAACTTACGTTTAATTCGAATTAAACTCTCCGTGTGAACAGGGCATTAAACGTCAGTTTAAAGTCAGTATCATCACTGGTGGATAAGGAAACAACAGTGTCATTGTACTTTGTACAGTCCAGATTGCATTGCTTTGAACGAAATCCTGTTTATTCATGCCAGACAAGTTAATATGACCTTCTTCATTTAGGAATTCAATAATTGTTGAAATCCACTTGTGTACTTTCTGATTTTAACAAACTCTCTTTCCGCGGTAAGATAAATGATAATTTACTTCAAGATATTTTCAACGCCCTCTGTTCATTCAATTGATTTTTTTCTTTAAATACGTCAATCGGACATGTGAAAGCATACAAGTGCATTTTCTTGCTTTTAAACAGTATGCTTTAAAAATACATGCAAACATGGAATTTTTTTGACATGATCTGCAAAAAAAAAATGTTTGTGAGATTTTGTGCTGATGTAAAAGGTTTTAGCATTTGCAGGGTTGCTAGAAGAAACCTCAAGCTTCCATCTATTCAAGTTAGGGGTGCATTTTTTGCAAATGTATTCATCCAGTGACTTTTTATCCGATATGTATACAGG